ATAGATAGATAGATAGATAGATAGATAGATAGATAGATAGATAGATAGATAGATAGATAGATAAACGTACACCTGCACACACACGTATGTACAGTAAATATGTATATAAATAAGATAAAATAATGTAAAAGAAAAACATTTTTTAAAAGGGGGGGGTTCTGCAAGTTCTTTCAAATTGAGGGAAAATCTAAGTTCTTCAAGCTCAATTGTCTTTTTAAAAAATCTGAACCTAAAATCAGAACTTTGACCAGTTGAAGCTGAGACGGATTCCAGCTACATGTGGCAACAGTTGAAAAACAGTATCTAAAAAAAAACCACATCAGCAAGGTTATTGGTCGTAAAAAGAAAAGCATCTGCGTTAACCCACAGAGCAGAATCCCAGCACTGGCAGGTGAATAATTCACACATCCTAAAGCCTTTGTTTTCCGTCATGGAGGCTCACACAAACACACACACGCACACATACCTGTGCACGTAGCCAGCCCGAGACGGGAGCCACTTTTCATACATCACCATTAAACTTTACCCATGCAAGTGCCTGACATATTACTCAATAAATTGTGATTTGTGCTGGTTGCCAGGGAACAAATGATCCTGCCGCCGTTCACTCATTTATCACCACGGTGTCCTTTCACTTCTCCGAAACCATCGCCTTCTTTTTCTACCTTGCTCACCTTAGCGCTCTCTGTTTTCTACCTTATTCATGTCCCCGCCCCTCTCCTTCTCCCTCTCTGCAGATAGTTTATGTGGCTCCGATGAAGGCCCTGGCAGCCGAGATGACTAATTACTTCAGTAAGAGGCTGGAGCCATTAGGCATCACCGTTAAAGAACTCACTGGAGACATGCAGCTAACCAAAGGAGAGATCCTCCGAACACAGGTACACACACACACACACTCTGAAAAGCCTTGAATCCTTAATGCTCAATTCTGTCCTGTTTTGGGGTGATTCATTTTATTCATTTTAATAGTTCTTTCAGTCCACTTTAGTTCCCTGTAGTTTTCTTTTGGGTGTTCATGTGCATTGGGTTGGGGTGTTTTGATAAGGTGTTTTGAGGCTTTAACCCATGATTGGAGCTCCTGTAATCTTTAGTACACACAGACTAACAAGCTCATGGCTTTTTAATTGATGGTGTGGAGACTTTTTGTGTTGCCATGTTATGGATTGGGAGCTTAGATGACCCACATTTCTTTTCCCCTCCGTTCCTCTTATTTATTGCTGTGTTTGTTGTTGGTCAACTACCCCGGCGCCCACTGAACAGCAGACTGAATGAAACGAGTCACAAAAGAAACAGATGTGTGAGAGAAAACCCTGCCTAGTGCTTTGTTTATTCCCCGGCCCTGTGAATGAAACATTAACTGAGGGATTTTGGTAATATTACTGTAGTTTATATCGGAAAATATGGCTGTAGTGTTTAATGGCCCTAACCATAACCCTACATAAAACGAGCAGATTTTCAAGGTTTTGTTTTGACATTTTTTGTTTGTTTTTTGTTATCTCAGCTCTAACTTTTGATAATGTCCTGCTTATATAAAATGGGGATGACAAGTGTCACCACTGGTGGAGGTCAGCAGTCAAATATTGCCTCAGTGAATTGGAAAAATATGGGAAATTGCTAAACGTTTCCCCCTGTTTTTGGTAGATAGATAGAAGATTTCAAATCAAGTCCATTCTGACCAGAGATGTACCAGCGCTGGCTGCAGCACACACTTTAGTCTGTTAGCCTCATAGAAAATAATTAATTCATAAGCGAGTTAACAGACATGCACACACTGCAAAGCTTTGAAAACATAGTGGATGTATTCACAGACGACAACACACACTCAGTCATGAGTCAGTTTAGATTCGCAAGGTAACCCAACACAATGAGAGAGAGCCTGGACCAGAGAGCCTGGAATAAAGACGCCCAAATTAGAACAGTTTTTGATGGATAGATTTAATAAATTAAACCCTCAACTGGCTACTTATTGTGTTTAAAGCATGGAAGTTTAGAACAATATCAGTGATAAGACACACAACCATTATTTATTATTATTATTATTATCATTATTATTATTATTATTACCCAATAAGTAATGGCCATGTGGATACCACCATGTTTCTGGTGATGTATATCATCCTTTGTCCTTCAGTCACATGCTTTTTTTTCTTTTCTTTTGGCAGTTTTGTTTTTACTGAACCCCCATAAAGTATCAAAAGCGGGTTTTTAGCCTTTTAGGGTTTTTTAGTTACCTTTCAGTAGGGTGCTCTACATTGTAGGAGTAATCGGCAAAAGCTTGCTGGGCTTTTATTGAGGCATTTACCTATAGAATGTGTAAATGTAGAAATTCTTCCTGCATAGGCATTGGTGTTTTTGTTATAGGAGAATAATGGATTTTTCACAATGAAGTCACAAAAAAGGGCTGAAAACAGCAAGTTATTTTGACATAGAGCTCGGCTGCCCAGGTTCAGATGGAAGTGCAGGTTGCTAAATCCATTCTCAAATCATGCTAGAAGTGTTGGGAAAAAAAGAAATCAAAACAAACAGGCCTATCTATTAAATGCAGAAGAGTTGGAATTTGAAAGATTGCACTGCATGAAGTTAAAGTTTCTAAGCCTTGTGAAGCTTATGAATACAAAAGGAACGGTTTAGGTTTATACTATGTATGAAATGAGGCCAATTCCAGCTAATCTGAAGGTGTTTTAAGGTTGCCTTTCAGTCAGGTCACATGAAAAGATTTTTCCAAAAATGATTCGTCAAATATACCGCAGCTCTGCGGCACTCCACTCTCTCTCCCTGGCGTCGCCTGGTTCACATTTCTCCCTGATCCCTCCATTCGGCTGTGTTAGTTTCAGCACATTTACCCCGAGAGCGTATGCGAAAAAGTCCGTCTACATTTCCGAGGGGTCAGAGATGCCAGGATGCGCCGCTATCTAACCTTGGTCGTCTTCTGTCTCTCGTCAAAGTCCTCACCACTCCTTTCATCATGCTCTTTTGATGTTCGTATAGAGTCGGGACTCTGGCACAGCTTCAGCATGCACAGTGCACGAGGACAGGGAGCCAGTGACTGCTCGAGCAATTATACTGAGACCTTGTGCACATGTGTGTTAGACCTTAATATTTCAGCCTGAAGCCCCTTTGGTGTCATTATACAGCTGCTGATAAAGAGGAAATTAATGGAAAAAGGGATAATAAATGTAGCTTAGTTCTTTTCAAGGTGGAAGACAGTAGAATAGAAAAGATATAAAAGCTTACTAAACTATTCCAATGTAAACAGGGGAGAACAGCTAATTTTTTGAGCAAACAGTTCTAGTGATCAATAAAAGAAATCACCTCAGACATTCTTACAGCAGCTCAGAGTTTTATTTGGAGGTAGGTTATTTTCAGGCTCCTCAAATACTGGGTCGTTTAAGTCAGTACTTAACATTTAGGGACCGTAATATTTAAATACTGCTAATATGTAAAGATGAGCCAAGCTAAGGAAGCTAGTCGATAGCGTTGGATTGGTGAAGAAGCAGTCCAGGAAAAGACCCCGTCTTTTTCACCAACCAGCAAATGACAGCATTACTTGGGTACTCTCCTCTGAAAAAGGTAATGGTAAGGACATTTTCGCATATTTGTGGTAATTGTTAGCGGTTGTTGTTGTAGCGGGCGGCTAGGATCAATTTCTGGGCAATTTGGGAGAAAGTTGAGAAAGAAGAGTTTATTTCACCGTCTTAGTCACCAAGCAATTCCACACAGCCATCCCAGTCCTTCCAACAATATTAACGAGCTCCATTACCTTATTTAATCACATGATTCATTTAAATGGGATTATTGGAAGCAAGTTAGAACTGGTGTGAAATAAGGGGACACTCAGCTAATCAGAGTGCTTGGCTCAGGGTTCCTCGTGATGCATTGTGTGCAGTGGTTCCTCAAACACATACAAAGCATCTGTGGTACTGAAGCCAAGGTTAATTGGTGTTGTATAGTTAATTTTCCAAGCGGCGAATGCATAAGTATGTTGCTAGATGTCTTTGGGTTTGCGTAAACCCAGAAGAAACAGACCAAAGCTCCGTCAAACTGTGTAATGGGCTTATGTGACGATAATTAACGGGTTCACATGCCAGGAGAGTTTTTTTAACATGCTTCTTTGAGCCTATTGGACCTTCATGCTGGTTCAAAACCTCATTGTTCTGTGTGGAAATGTGTGTTATTTTTGTCCCTCCCACGCTTTAATACCCATTGCACCCGAAGAAAAGAGCAGCTATCGCAGTCGTGATGTTTGCACATATTTCTCTAATTGTGAGCGTATTCTCGTGGGGACTAAATATAAGGACGCACACATATTCATTTGGACTGTATTTAGAAGGTTCTCATTTCCGACAACCAGTTGGCTCATAGCATATTGCAGTCCAGCAAATGTCTTTCTCTAACCTCCCCACTCAATTTTCCTCCCACCTACCTCTTCCTCCTACATCCTCCACTCACCATGGCCGCTAGAGTCGCCATGGAAACAGAAAGGCTTTGGAGAGATGCTGCCATGTAGATGCCAGTAAGAGGGTGGATGGCATCCTGGGACTTCCAGGTCCTTTTGCTTTTCAGTCCAAAGAGGACATATCAGCCAGTCACATCAAAGAAGAGGCGACTTCAGGAATGTGTCACTCCTCACGCCACGTTCAGAGAAGATAATTCCACCGCCCACGTTTTGTGCTAATTCCGCCTCATGAATTGGATCTGAAAGGACATATTAGAAATGATTAAATAAAAAGACTAGGTGGGATTCATGTTCAAAAGAAAAAACTGTTTAAAATAATCCTATACGACTAAAAGTTTTGAAATATCAGACCATATAAACTTTTTTTTTCACAATCTAGGGGTTTTGTCATCTCCTCAGTTGCTCTGTGCTGAAAGTTCCTAAGATGTCTCACGCTCATCTGACCACTGTGGAAAGAACTCATGAGTTTCCCTAAAGTATCAAAATGAAAACTTATTTCCAATCAGAAACGAGGCTCGGCGGGGGCCTTGCTCCTCCTAACACACGGAGGCTGAGTGTGTGAACACGTCCTCCGAACCACTCACAGCATTCAGTTCTTCTCTTTTTTACATTTGCTATCCGTGAAACAGGTTGTGATTGTGCGTAAATGGCTAAAAAGAAAACCACTAACACATTTCCTGATGTTATTTTTCTCTACACTCATTTATTGCAGACCTATTCACTTCTAAACAGGCTGTTTTCAGTTGGACTACGAAAACGTTAACTGGGCCAAGAAGACAGGTTTTCTGTCTCTATAAACCACATCATGGCTAAATGTTACAACTAAGGCGTACAGATAACATAGAATTCATGTATATTTTCATTGAAAAAAATGAGGGCGAGTTGTGGAATGAAGTTTTCTTCAAATGATAAATTCCTTTTTAAATATTCAGTCACAATTCAATTTTAGCCTTAAAGACATTCAGTCATTATCTGAAAGCTAAATGTTAGAATAAAATAAGTGGTAAACTGCTAGTATTTGTTAATAATGTGTGTGGATAGATGGAATCTAACCCCATGAATATGGAACCCATCAGGTGGCAGCATGCAGCCCGCTAAATGCTGCAGGAAATTTCATATTCTGAAAATGCCTGAGCCATAGGATTAACCAGATGCTGGACATTAATGTATATACCTGCCAGGGAGTGGTAGTAAAATAACAAATGTCTAACATAACTTAAAAAATGTTTTCTACAGCAAAATAAATCTTCTTTGTGTAGTTTCTGCCTTTGGCCAGTGCCATTTTCACAGTCTTCTAAAAAAACAAAACAAAGCAAAACCTTCCAAAGTAATCGCTCCGAGCATAAATCAAATATATGAATCACTGAATATGTTATGGTAATGACTCAGGGTTCGTCAAATAGTCATCTGAAGCATTGTTCATGTTGCTAGACGGAAGGAATGGGATCGTCAGCTCTGGGAATGTCGACTCGGACAGTGTGGGCATAGCTCCCCTCTGCCGGGGAATTTTTCCCAGCTAGGATCTGGCGCTGTCCCCGGAATGAATGAGCTTCCTGTGGTAATGAGGTTGCACACGGGGACTACTTCACGATTTTTCACCATCGGCGGGTTGAAGGTTTGCAAACAAGATCGAAATGAACCCTAACTGATATGCCAACCCTTCCACGAGGGCTTGCAGCTGTTTGTTTAAACAGTTCTTGGCATTCCTCCTCCAGCTTGTATGTCTATAATACTCCCTTATTATAACCATTTTAAAATAGCATTTATGTTTATTTAACAGGAAAGACGGATGAGAGATGTGGGGCCAGTCTCAAACGGCATTATGCATTTCTGAGGGTTGAATTATTGTCTGCTAAACGTAATAATAACAGGCTCAGAATTAGGAGGCAAATTTGGAGGCAATCCAAAGCCTTTTGACATGCCTTGAAAATACCCATTACAGATTTGTTAAACCCACCTACACTCTCTGCTCCTTATTTAAACATAAGCAGGCTTTCCCTCTGCCTGCCGACATTTCATTCTGTAATGTACTTTAATAAAGTCACCTCTTAAAGGCTAATATCAGTATCTCCTTTTGAAGTTGGAGCGGTTATCTGATTAAATTGTCACATTTACTGTAAGCAACAATGACTTAAATGCTCTCCTTTGAAACAGTAAGTATCAGTGGATTCTGAGGATTGATTTCAGCCTCGCCGCCATCGGTTGATAAATAGGCCAAATAGCATTATTCAGCCCAAAAAACAATGGCGTGTTTTCTCCGCTCCTCCTTGTGTGTATTTGCTAAGCAATTAAAAAAGCACTTTGGAATGTGCTCCATTTGCCAGAGCCTCCATTTAGATTAAACAGGAGCTCCAATTAGGACCAGGCGCTTCCCTCTCTGTGAGCATGCCAGTCTCTAATGGCTGGATACATTGATTTAAATTCAAACTAGAGGGGATTTAATGAACTGTTTTTTTATAGGAAGAGTTTAATAGGAATTTGCAGATCCCTGGACAGGCTGCCAAACAGTTTACACACGATTAATTATGCATTGTAGTATTTTTCTTGAAACAAGAGAATAAAACTGCACCGGAGTCGTATGCAGTAAACAATGCGCTGGGAGGGGGTTTGTTGACACTTGATACAGATAATGTGTTGATACTGCTGAATATAATTAGCCCGAGAAGAATGCCAAAACAAAAGCAGACGCGCTGACTGTTTATTGAGTCAGCCGAACAGAACGGGATCTGATGTTTTTTTTTCGGGCGTCTCCCCGGCAGTGGCGTGGCGTGGTAGGCCGGACGTGAGCGATGCTCCCCGGCCGTTGCTGCGGTTAGTCGTTATGGTGATTTGGGGGATTCTGTCTGTGTCGTAATGAGCCCAGCCACGGGCAATTTGCCTTTGATGAGCCATGAATCTGACATCATATTCTGGACGGATTGCGCCACGGAGGAAAGCCGGAGTCATGTTCCCCGCTCGCCAGCCACAGTCCCAGAGTGTCGGATAAGTTGGGTGCCACAAAAGACACAACCCCAAACGGCTGCTTTCACTCAGCTGCTGTCAGCGAACAGGGCCGGAATAAAGTGAAGCTGTTGGCAGAGTTTCACGCATGAAGCTCACACATCTGAACGTTGCACTGGCTTTTTTCTTTTCCTTCTTTTTCTTTTGCTGCTAAAGAAAAACGGCTTCATTCTCCATCTCCTTTTTACAAAAGTCTTTATGGAGCCTTCATATGAAATGACAACTGCAAGCTGGCTTGTCCCGCTCATTATAGAAATGCTCACAGAAACACAAGTGCGCATGGAGAGCTGCCAGAATCACATTTATTTAGCCGAGTGTATGTAAGCCGATCGTTTCTCCGGAGGAAAAGGCTTTGTTGGGGGATGAGAGTGATGTAAGCCCTGTGTCCATTCCTCTTCCTTTCAGATGCTGGTGACCACTCCGGAAAAGTGGGACGTTGTGACCAGGAAGAGCGTGGGAGACGTAGCTCTTTCCCAGATCGTACGTCTGCTGATCTTAGATGAGGTCCACCTCCTGCATGAAGACCGGGGACCCGTGCTGGAGAGTCTGGTGGCCAGGACCATCAGACAGGTCAGTGCTACTTCCTGTCCACTCGTCTGCATTTGATACAGTTAATGCTGGTCCTTTAAAGCTGATTTCTCTTTTACACTCTTGTTTTTTGAGTTAGTGTCTTAATTTCTGAATTGTGTTATTCATGCATGCATATTCATCATTTAAGCAAACTTCAGCTGAAAAGCATTTTTGAAAATGTTTAAACTGGCTGATTTGCACTTTATTTTCTTGAGGTTTCCAAAACATTTTCTTTTTAGGTTTGATTCTTAGAAGAAGAATCAGAGCCATGCTTTAATTTAAGTACTCGCTCAACAAATGTCTCATGAAAATGTACAAAACATTTTTATCTGTATTTGTTGGTATCAAGGACTAAAAAAAACAGAGATATTTCACACTGCAGATGATCAGGTTTGTAAGGGTTAGGGTTAGGGTACAGCAACTGTAGAAGACAAAAGAGATCTGGTTACTTTTGGACTGTTTAAAGCACAGAAATGAACACACCGTTTCACAATTTCATGTGAATATATTTAAAAAACGAACATCACAGCAGCAGCAAGTTGTAGAAACTCACAATTGGCATATTTTTCTTTTATTAGATTTATTTTTCTTCTGGCACAGTTTAACTAATCTAATATGATGTGTTACAATGCCAACACAAAAGCTGTTTGTAAAAAATATGAACATATGAACAAAATCCTGCTAATGCAAGAGAGAAGAGCCCAAATCCCTGAGCAGTTGATGAGGAAACACTGAGGATAAAGGAGGTAAAAAGACAGAAATATAAACGGGGAGGGTTAAAGCATTTCTTCCTTCAATCATCATGGGAAATGTTAGATCACCGGGAAGTTAAATGGACGGGTCCGGAGTACTTATGAAGCCCCCGTGGGAATATCAATAATGCAGCATTATGCTTCCCCACAAAGAGGTGGCTCGGCCATGGACGTGCATATCTTACCACACTGTGTGGAATCATCAACTCATCACTGGCAGGTTACAAACACAACACCCAAAGGCATTGATGGCAATCCCTGGCAATCTTAGCTTAATTTATTTCTCTCTTCCTACGAAAGTTTTTTTTTCTAACTGTTACACCACAGAAAATAAAATGCAGATGTAAGAAATGCATGCTGCTTCGCCGCTATTTGGACATTGACAACACGGCTCACACATGACACACGCTAGTATTCATGCAGCAAAGGGGGTTCAATCAGCCTCCACTTGATGAAAAAGTAACAGGGGGCCAGCGCTACCCACAGAGAATAATATGACTTATTTAATGGTTAATGGCTCATGGCTGTTAGGATACTTTATGTTGGCTCTTGTCTTTCTCCAAGATAGAAATTACAGAGATACATTCTCCAAGAATCTGTTTATTTCACGTGTTACAAACTGTTGCAGCTGTTGGTTCCAAAGGGCGTGTTTCCCAAAGCAGAGTTGTGACCTATTTGTCGCGAAATAGCTGTTTTTTCCCCCAAAAAACGTTAGAGTGAAGCTTGGAAACACATCAGAAATCAGAAACAACATTCATACAATCTGTGTAGAATCACCAGCACTAACAGTTTTTGCAGAAATGAGTGTATACATTCACATTTCAATCCAAAGTCCAAAGCAGTTTGAATTGTAATGCAGCGATAGGCATTATGACTCTGGAGTCAAACCACAAACCCTCAGATTGCTATATATAATATATATACAGTGGGGGAAATAAGTATTTGAGCCCTTGCTGATTTTGCAGGTTTGCCCACTTACAAAGAATGCTTATTTTCCCTCATCAGATGGTTATCAATTTTTATAGATTCATATGATGTGATTTTCGGGAATTTTCTTTGGGATTCTGTCTTTCACTGTTAGAATGTACATATGATTAAAGTTATATATTGTTGCATTCTTTGGAAGTGGGCAAACCGGCAAAATCAACAAGGGGTCAAATACTTATTTCCCCCACTGTATATATATTCACTAATGTTCACAGTTTAAGTCGAACTAAGACCTGCACCACCTTTAAAGGTCAGCTGCACACACTAAACATCTTTATTTCAAAATGTTACCATTGCAAAATGTTCAAAACAGTATTTAATGTTCAACTATTTCCACTACTGTTGATGTGATAGAATTCATTTAGATTTTTCTTTGAGAGGTTGATAACCCAGATTTCAGTCCCTTAAAGTCTGAGGGTATCTCAATTCATGCAACAAAAAAAATCCTGCATATTTTTTACAACACATGCAAAAGTTTTTGAAGATTTAAAGGAACATAAGTCAGAAACAGGCAGGAAATTATTCCAAACGCCTACAAACAGCTATTTATGCTGAAGGAGGCTATACTGGTGCTCAGGGTTAACTTGGAACGTTTTTAAGGTGACTGAATGATTGAAAAACACATTTCTAATGTGGGGATTCATCTGTGTACGCCACCTTTATTCATGTAAACATCATGAAGAAGATCCATCTCTTCCAAGATGAAAAGGTCAACCGCATTTCAAGTTTGTGTCTCTTTTTTTTTTTTCTTTTCACACCCAAGTGACCTGAGGTATTAAAATTCAACGCTTTTGCATGATCAATGTTAAAAAAGTAATAGGAGTTAAACCCATTGGGACGATCCTGTTCTTTATTCAAACACAGTTTACATATGGTGTCATCAAACCTTAACAAAAATGGCAAAAATGGAAAGATAAACTGATTAAATTCTAAAAAAAACAACCTTATCCATACAAATCTATTTCAGAGGGTGGAAATTACGTTAGACGCTGCTTCAAAAGAAGCTCTCAAGCTGTTCTCATTTTGTCACAAATAAATTAGGATTATAAACAGGCTTATGATTACAAATTGGAGAATGTGCTGCATACAACTGCGAGGCCGGACCTGATTGTTTTCCCATTTCTTCGGTGCCTTAATTGGCTAAAAACGTTTTAACAGGGCCCCATTGACATCATTGGCCATATAAATCCATTCCCACTGATGTGGATCAGCCTGTTTTTATGCAGGAACCACCTGAATATTTTGTCTATTATAATTAGGATTTAAATTTAGACCGGTACACTGCGAGTAAGTGCTCTGAAATCCCATTTGGATGAGCTGTGGTCACATATCAGTCCGCGGAGGGAAACTGATAAACTTATAGAGATGCTAATAGATATTTTTGGAATGCATGGACCGCCACTGAATTCAATCATCTGTTGTGGCTTTGAATTATGTTTGATCTTGAAAATTCTTATGTGAAGACAAGCCCTGTGTGTCCGTCCTTGGGTTTGGCTGATATGAATCTCTCTGCACAGAGTTAATGAAAGCATTTCCAAATGTTTTTTTTGTTTTATTTCATATGCCAAGTATTCGCATGGATGCGAATATATGCGTATATGTGAATATATATAAACCATTTTCTTAATAACCCACAATCGAACCCTGAAAAATGAAAGTCGAATTTTTATGCAAATGACAATAAGACGAGCAACCCAACCATCATTATGCATGACTCTTTGTTCTCTTATGGTTATTCATAGAAGTTCTGAGCGCTAATATTTCACCCAGCTGACCGCTACAGCGTCCACAGCAGCAGCATTTCATTAACACCCTGAAATCTCAGGAAGGTAAAATTCAAAAATAATAAATACATTTACAAGGTAATACAGCAGTTTCAATCTAAACCTGAGCAGAGCAAGATGAAGCAAACATTATTTGAGTAGGTGGTTTAAGACGAGGCAGAAAAAGATAGAGACGTAAAGAATTCATTAAAAAAGTTTGACTGTGCCTTTGCTTATCCTGTTTGAGTCGATTGCAAAGCTATTGAATCATATAATTTACTTCTTGTCAAACTCAAGTGTCCCTTTTTTGGCACCTGCCCGCTCATTGTTTTGATCGATAGTGAAAATGTGTGGACAGCAGCGCTATGCTAAGCCACTCCGGCCAGGCGGCCGGGCGGCAGATAGGGCCGGGCGGGGGGGCGGGGGGGCAGGGACGGCCTCCGGGCGGGGGGGCAGGGACGGGCTGCTGCGCCGTGCAGCTCCGCAGACCTTTTTTGGGGGAGGTTAACTGCCAGGTAATTGAAAAGTGGCCCGCACCCGGGCCAGTGTTTACTCGGTTCACAGCCCATTTATCTGCAGGTTTAGCTGATATTACTGAAGAAGGGCTGACTGGACTCTTTCCATATCCAACTCCTCTTCAGGTTGAGCACAGGCCTGTTGGCGTATCTCACGGGTTAGAAAGTATTGTTGAAATAAAGAGCAAAACTTGGGCTGGATTTTGCATTCAATTACAGCAGAGGTTCAGATCAATCTACTGTCCAGCCTCTCTGGAGCTGTAAAGGTGCATTATCACCGTGTTTAGGGGTGGATTTCTATGACATGCCCTCGCATTTGAACGCCATCATATGTCAAACTTGACTTTATTCACATAGTTTCTTTGTTTTTTAGGAATGTCTGCTTTCTAGTTCTGACTGGTCTGAACAGCCATGACATCGTACTGAAATTGTTAAGGGTTGCTTTTCTCATATTCTATCTGTAGCACGTCGGATTTACATATCTTGCGAGCCAAAAAGTATTCCATTTAATTACCTGAGACGTCACGGATGAGCTCCAGTCATCTGTGGCGAGCCTTCACGCCACAAAAGACGGCGTCTAAACAGTTTGCGTCGGGGAGCTCTGAACAAAGAAGGAGAGAAAAAAAGCAAATCAGCCCCCTCTTCTCTGTACGGCAATGAATGCACATAGATTTGCGGATCCATTTTGTTGCCTTGATCTGTGCATCTTTGGCCCAGATGGGTGATGACAGCAAACACATAGCAGAGGTGCAGGGAGGAGCAAACTCTGCATCTCTCTGAAGAAAAATATTCTCAGCTCTGTTTGGAAAACATGTTTTCTTCATCCTTTCAAATTATGTTTGAGTTTCTTGCTTCAGATGAAGAAAAGAGTGAAAAGCATCCTCTGAGTGCCAGCAAAAGGACATTTAAGACAGGGTCAGGTATAAGAATATAGATATATTGTACCGTTTTTCATTATCGGACCAGTTTGGATCTATTGCGGGTCTATGTGTTTGTTTGTCTTTGTGTGCGAGCTTGTTTCAGACTTGTAGTCCACCCCCATCCTAAAATGATGGGCAGCATCAATGCTCCTGGCAGACAGCCCCACCCCCACCCCGCTTTCATCTTTGTCTAATTATTGCCACACCTGACAGACTCCCGTAATTGATTGTGCTAAAGGAATTATGGAGGCTGCTACTGATGCACAAGTTACTTAAGTTCACACCCTCAGACGCATTAATATGGAAATCCCTGTAAACTGAACGATATTTGTTCCCCTTTTTATGCAAATGTCTTAGAACCGAGTCAGTTATCACTTTGATGTTTTGCATGGAGGAGCTCCAGTCTTGACTACATTATTATAGTTGAGTCTACTGCTACCAATTATTCTCAGCTTTCTAGATAATAGTCCCTCTAACCTTTAAGACAGAAGCCTTTAATGCTGCTTTGTTGAGACTTTCCACTGCTCTGTATGCTATTTAAGGAGCATTTCTGTTCAGTCCTAGCTGAAAGGGCCCTCCTGTATGGTTGTAGAAGCTGAAATATTGTTTTAACTCCTGCAGCTCAATGCGGCGTGCATGTTGAGTCTATTCAAAGCTGAAATGGTTTCTGTCTTTCAACTAGTTAGGGTCAGTGCTCTCCTCATCCTGCCGAAGAGTTCGGACCCATCCAAGCTCGGTCAGGGTGGCTTTTGTGTGGGGACTTGTGTCCCAGTGGTGGGTGGCCTGACCCTTTCCCGCTTTGCCTCAGCCCCTTTTTCTCTGCCCGACTGCAATAATGGCCCCCAGATCCAGAAAAACAGCATCTGACGCAGGACCGTAGCAAAGGATGCTCTGGACCCCATGGGTTGGGGAGAGGATCTTAATGTATTCTCTTTCCGAGCCCGTGAGATCGGTATCAGGAGAGTGTAGAAGTCGGGGGCACACCTCGGAGTCTTTGACAAGCTGTTTAGCCCGTTTAAGTGTCTGGTTACAGACTGTTTTGGCTGGTGTCCAGGTGAAGCCCATGCGAGTCCCGGGACTCTCCCCCAGCAGAACGCCGCTCTGGATCGCCATGAGAAAACGCCGCCCACTCCCATATTCCGAAACGGCGAGCTTTATTACGTTCCCATCGGCGCGCGCGGACAGTTAATAGATAATAATGACTGTAATTTGTTGCCGGGGACGGCAGAAGCCCGCGACCACGCGGACCAGAGAACAAAGCTTCCTCTGAAGTGAAGCAAAATCACTGTAATCACCCACACAATCGCAGACCCCAGAGGGCCGTAGCTTTTACATACGATGACATGGCTTTTCCCTTCCCTCAGCAGTGGCATTTCTCTGTATATGCAGTAACCACATAAGGACTTCAAATACGAACAATCCCAGTTTTTGCCATCATGACCTATTAAATCTGTTCGGGGTCGTTCGGCTTTTTAAAATGTATTTCTAATTTTATTTCCGACTGAAGGTCTCTGTCTCTCGGAGAGCTTTTAGGTCATACATACGGGGAGATTAGGTGGAGGGTTTGATTCTGCATGATGAACGGGGATGAGGTGGAACAGCAGGGCTGCTGGTGGAGTCCTAGTCTGCCGGCAGGGATTGGTCGGGTCTTATCTTGATAGGGCGCTTTGACAGGTACTGCATCACATTAAAAGCCTTACCAATCTTCCCTGTCACTTCCAGCAGGAGGCTCACAGATAGGGCGGCCCACCGTCCCCCCCGACACCCCCCCCCCCCCCCCTTTCTCCCCCCCCCCCCCCCCCCCCAAACCCCCAACATTAAATTCCGTTTTTTTTTTTTTTTTTTCCGAATAACGACGGCACGTTAACCTCGTGAAGAAGGAATATTTTTGTTTTAGTGTCTCTGACTGTGGGGAATGTAGTTGGATAGTCAGTAAAATCCCCATCTGGAAAACGCCGTCTTACTCTGAAGCTTTGATGTGGTGCCACAGTACTTCATCTACTTTCTTCTCCCTTAATATCCATACCTAAGATCTTCCTTATAGTCATGTCCTTTCCTTTATTTAAATACCTGTATTTTGTGTCGCAGATATAAAGTGAAATGAGTCTCCAGAAGCAGTGGGATTATTATCCGTATTGCGTTTTATCACTTCCTCTATAGATGCTGCTGCAGACAACTGGAAGCAGGCGGTTTCATTTGAATGTCCTGCAAAGGCTTGTGGACCACGGTGTGTAATAAACAGGAACTTCAGAGAGAGATTGTCGACGGTTTTTTCCCGACCGGGCAGCGGGAGTTTGTCCCAGCAGGACTCTGGTTAAATGCATCCATCAAAGCGCTTTTATCCGTTATCCAGGTTGGTGCTCCTGTCAGTGCCGCTCAGTGTCAGAATCCCTACGTCAGACACTTTGGTCAGTAAATGCGCGTTCTTAAAAACTTCTTTCGGACTCTTCGTGCAACTCTAAGCACAACCGTGGCATCCAACGGGGCACTTCCACGGCCCGCCGATGCATAATGCACACGCGCACCAGTGTAAATTCTCTAATATGCAGCCAGAAAGACTTCCACGTGGAATGCATATCGCCTCCGAAAATATTGCTCCCCTAGTTGGTATGTATTATTTAAGTTCATGAAAAGTTTACTTAGAGGGGGAAATGATCAATATTTTATAGGAATTTATGTAGATACACATTAGCACATTTTCTTCAGGCCACTGAGTGAGTGTAGGGCCTGTTGTCGTGCAGCAGAATAGACTTAGGACCAATCGAATTAGGGAACCGAATACCTCAGATCACAATAACCATACATTTTGGATCTCTCCTTTATCTACGCAAACAAATCTTTCATCCAAGTGCTCATCTTTGAAGTTTTGTTGTCTTATTCTGCCTGAAAAGAGGCTTCAAAAAATGTAGCACAGACCCTCAAGCAGAGTGTATGAAAATGTATTGTAACTCACACTGTTCCCCTCTAACCGGAACACTCTGCTGTTTCCTGTTGTTTAGGTTGAGTCCACCCAGAGTATGATCAGGATCCTGGGACTGTCGGCCACCCTGCCCAACTATCTGGACGTGGCCTCCTTCCTTCATGTCAACCCCTATATCGGCCTGTTTTTCTTCGACAGCCGCTTCAGGCCAGTACCTCTGGGCCAAACGTTTGTGGGAGTCAAAACCACCAACAAGGTAGATCAACAATACGCTGGTCGTTCTGATCAGATGTCTGTGGAAATGCTGCACGTTTTGATTGACCTGAGTGAGAGTAAGGGGCAAAGTTGTGCTTTGTGAGAAGGTCCAGTAACAACAGTTGCTTTTCCTCTGTGTCCTGTTCAGATTCAGCAGATCCATGACATGGAGGAGGTTTGTTACGACAAAGTTCTGGAGCAGGTTAAAGCAGGCCATCAGGTAAGTCAGAGGGTTTATGACTTAGTTTAGGTTTACGAAAATATATTTCTAAACTCATCCGTTTTTGCAATTTACTTTTCTAAAACACAAGAAGGATGTCTCTGGTGTTCCTGGGTTCCCTTCATGCTGACTGCTCTTTGTCCTATCGCTGCCTAATTTAGACATCAAACCGTGTTGCTTTCCTCTTTGGAAGGCTAAAGAAACATGCCAGATCATTGTGGCTGTGATTGAGTTGTTTTCCCTTTGGGAGAATCGCAAAATATCTGCTCATAAAGGCAGACGGTTATTAAAAATGCATCTGACGGTGACATTGGCAGCTTTCTTCTCTGCTAACCTTTTAAAGTTTCACACGCTTGTGTAAAAACGAGTTGCCGATGAGCGCAGAGTTAAAAGCATCATGAAGGCAAGCAGGAAAAAACAAGTTGAAGCAGCAAATCTTTATCAGGACACACTTAACTTTAAATTTTATTAAGAAGCTAAGTCTTTAAAACAGACTGAGGCTGAGATCTCACGTGAAGCACTACAGTTTAAAGTTTAAAGACACAGCAGAGAGATGTGAATGCAGAAGTATAAGCCGCACTACCTTCTCAGACATAAAATGCATACAAGAGAAACATGAAGCACAGAAGGATGTTTCATGTTTGAACCTGGAGGTTACATGACCTGAGTAAAGGGAAGGTTCCACTGTAAAATGACGAGCGAAATAGGGGGTGAAGGCAGAAGAAGTTCCACCAGTCACAAGGTGCAAAAACCCAGTACCAGAAAAATGTTTTAAAGGTTTTTTTCAATTATTTATTTCTGATTTTAACACAACTAATACGATGTGTGAAAATTAATATTATGACATGAAATGTTGGATAAGAAAAACACAAACCAACAAAAAAGACAAAATAAAAACCTGGTAAAAATTTCTATTTGCAATTTAAAAATGCATATTGAAAAATATATAGATAAAAGAAAGAAAAAAAACCTAAATGAATTTAAGAAATATAAAAGAACAAACAAAGATTACAGCAAACAAATACAATATAAGTTTAGGATACAAATCAAATGGGGCATGTAAAAGGCGTAATGTATTCAGTAGTTTTCTCTGGTTTCAGGTTAAGACTCGCGTGGGTTTGTCAGATCATTGCCAAATCTGTTTGATTTGTCTTGTTTTCCTCCTCACGTCATCTTGACTCTGGGTTATTTGAGCTCCTACAACCATCCTGTAGAAATACATTTTTACACCTGGATTAATGAATCCTAAATTTCACCACATGAACAGCAGAGGAGTCTCTGGAGAGCGATGCTAAAGCTAGCACCACTGGAAGAAAATGAGGCGCTTTAATCCCAGATGTGGCCACCATAGGGGTCCTCTTCGGGGCTGAGCCGAGTTTTCTGAAGTTTTCGGAATCATGCGCCTCTTTAAAAAGAAACCTCGGAAATCTTTTTGTCACGAGGAGGAAATTCTGCAGCAAATCATTTTTTTTTTTTTTAACCTTTGGTATGAACACCTGCTCTGTAAAGTCTCTGAGGTCCTTATCTCCCCCAGTATAATGTCCTGTTCCTCATACCTTCTGCCCTCATCCACCCAACGCCGGCCTCCACTCGTTTCTGCCTCCACTCCTCAGCCTCCGCAGGCCTACGGGGAACGCCAGAGTTGCGAATTCAGACTTTACCATTTAGCCTCCATCTGCTACAGGAGTTGAGCTCCCTACTGAGCACTGTTGTTATCCTGCTCACTTTACTGTGCGCACACACACACACACACACACACACACACACACACACACACACACACAGAGCCCTTTCCCTTCTCTTTCCTCTTCTATCATGCCCATTTTGTCCCTCAGAGATACACTTAATATAAGTGAGTCCGAAGCCTTTGAGAATCTGCTAGGAAGTTTGACTCTGCATCACTTGGATTTTTTTCTCCCCTCCCTTTTTTCTTCCTTTTCTTTATGTGAGTGGTTGAAGTTCTCCAGTGCTCCGGTCCAGCGTGTAGGTGTGGGCTGCTGAGTCCACCGCGCGACAGGGGAGGCCTCTTCCCCGCTCAGTATTAAATTGTCAAGAAGTAGCTCTGACATATATTAATTTCATCGGGGAGGACGTGATGGATGAAATTTCCTTTATGATTTTCCCCACACCTCCTGGCGGGGCGCGAGCTGCCAGAAGGAAGTTTAATAAGCCGAGAAGCTGGCGCTCACCGGCGACAACGCTTCCACACAGCTCAGTGGTGCTGATAAAACACCTCAGATAAATAACATTTGCTACAGTGGTCTCTTTGGACCCTCTGTTGGTGCACACACACACACACACACACACACACATGCCTGGCTGCTGCATGTCTCTGCAGTCGTGCAGCACCGTTTAGTTCAGTCTGCTGCTTATATTAAATAATTAAAGGATAATTAAACCAAAATAAATACGTTGTTTTTTTTCTAGTCCAAGTGTGTGAATGCTATTTTCAGTTTTCCTGCTTTCAAAGCACACATATTTAAGGACAGTTTAAGACCGTTAATCCCACTCAGGAGAGCAGCAGCCTTTTCTCAGATAAACTGAGCGTATTTTTTCAGCATCCCTCTCCACACATTCACTGCTTCCCATTATTCTGGTGAGCACCGAGCTCTTCAGTTTTTTGTGTGTGAACGACCCCCCTTCTGTAACACTTTTAGACAGGACTTGGTCAGAGTAGCACCTTCCTATCGCTCTCAACAGCAGAGCGAACTGCTGCACACATGCACAGCAGCAGAGGATTAATTGGCCAATAGATTAGCTTTTCAGAAGAATCTGAGAGGTCGTAGCATAAAATAAACAAAAACCCACACGTACAGACTTCCCAGACATGGTTTTGCACATAATTAGCCCAGATTGAGCTAAATGAATTGATTTGAACCCTGGCCATGTGTCAGTATTTGAATGTATTACCATCCAACACCATTTAGTTTTAATAAACACGCTTCTAGCTTCATAGGAATTATTTTGGCAATTTAAAAATAAGTCGGTAATGTGTTTGTTGTGGGGATGCATTTTCTCCAGAAAGCGTTTCCCCAGGTATGCTAAAACTACCGTGTTCCTGGAGTTGACCACACGTGCACTGTTTCCGTTAGAACCTCATGAGTAGAACATTAATGGCTGCCATCATGTGGGACGGTTCTACTGCGTTTTCCAGAGCCCCCCTGTCTACTTTGTGCCCTGTTTTTAACCATGCATCTGACCTGTTAAACTACATATTACTTTTATTCATTTATTTGCTTCGCTGGTCATTTTTATGACCTGTATTTTATTACGTAGGTCTTCCATTGATAACGGTCTTAAAAAGGCTGTAAAAAGTCTTGAGAATTTTTTGTGGTGAAACCTGACCACATCTACCAGTTCAAAATGTCAGAGTTAAATAAAAATAAAATGGAAAAAAAAACACCTTTATTCCTCAGGCACAATCTCACACACTCATGAAACCCCTAACGTGTGGTCATTTGAGTTCTGAGTGTGATGTCCAGCTGCCTGTTAGCAGAGGGGTTTGGCAGTCTACAGGCAGACTGCCCTGGCTTGAACTTTCCCAGAATTAAATATCTGTAGAATTCTATGTTCTCCTTGTGACGATGTGTCTCCCTATCTTTTGTCCCAGGTCATGGTGTTCGTGCACGCCCGTAACGCCACGGTGAGGACCGGCATGGGGTTGATAGAGCTGGCAAAGAATCGAGGAGAGATCTGTTTCTTTCAGCCGGAGCAAGGTTCGGACTACGGCCAGTGTGAGAAACAGGTAAGAAGGACAAGAAAAAGGATCATGTCAGCCCTCATAAACTGTTCGTGCTCAGATATAAGTAACAAACGGGCTGATTTATTTTGTACTTTTCAGCTTATACGATTTAATCGTAGGTTTATTGTTTGAGGCGTTTTTTGTCAGTGAAACAGCTCAGCCAGAATGAAAGAAGGCACATCAAAATTCCTCCGATCAGGTAAGGAGATAGGGATCCAGAGAACCCAGAGAGAACCCATCCATACACAGGGAGAACCCAGAAAGACCCCCCTGAAGGGATACAGGGCGTTTACCTCCACACCACTGTGCAACTTCCTATAAGACATGTGTTTGCTTATTTTAAAATGGATGGGAAAGAAACGTCAACGGCCCAACAATCCCCATTCTGAGGGATTCAGTAATTATTGTTATATTCCTTTTTTCTTTATTGCATTTGCTCAGATTGAATCTCTGGGACTAAGCTGCTCCACTTCTGAGAACACTGAATTCCACAGCCTATAATTACTGCACGGGTCTATACGTGTACAAGTCTATACACAGTTTTTTTGCACTAGATTGCAGACTGGAGAAAGGAACACTGATGTGTGTGTAATTAATGGCGTCTGTGCTGTGAGAGTACACAGGGGTGGAGCTTTATTCTTTCTCAGAGGACGGTCAGTCAGACTCCAACTCCCATATTTAAATCTCTTGCAACAGAAGGCAGAGTGATAAATTTAGTAACCTTTTCCTCCGTTCCCTGGGGCTTGGCCAAGATTGATGTGCCTCTAATCTCTTCTCTATTTAAATGGGATATGTATACAAATCAGATCACTTTTCATGCTTTGTAAAACTGAAAATAGAGGCAAGAGATTACGGAACTAAAAATGGTGCATTGTGACCTGGTTAGTCGCTTTAAAAGCGTATTTTTTTCCGACTGTTTCCGCAGTTTGGATTTGTCAGTGAATTCTTTATGTGTAGTTTAACTGTGTGGCTATTCGCTGTTGGCTCCTCTACCTGTGTCCCAGCATAATGAGTATTATCCACTCCATTAGTTCATCTTTGAGTGTTTGTCAGTCCAGTCTACTCCGCCAAAGAAAGGGGCATCAGGCTGACTCCACTTTAAACCCACACAGAGATAACGCACTGCTTATTTGCACTCCGGAAATTGCCCCACATTAATATTTATAGGTGTTTTTAATCTCCAATATGCATGTGCGCTGAAATAATGCCCCTCTAAGGTCAGTCATATAATTTAGCATTTATTTATCCCGCTTTAGGT